TTAATACGCTACTAAGCCGTTTGACGTCCTTTCCGTCATAGTAACTTCGGCTGTGTAAATAAACGCCGCCACCGCCGCGGTTCCGGGTGACATTCATCGCGTTGGTGAATTTGTTGTTGCTTTGGGGGTGCTTAATTCTGCAATCCCCGATAAAAATGTGCTTATAATTAGGCGTTATACACTCCTGAATGGAACGAAGCCCCCATTTTATTTTATTTTTTTAAATGTATTTCCCCCCTTACCTCCCATCAGTGTTGGTAAGATGCTCTGCACCTGTACATCAACTGTGGGTCCTCCCTTTCACAGACCCTAGTAGGTGCTTAAGCAATTACACATTTTACGTAATACAGCGCTGATGGAGCACCATGTATGCTTAGGTACATTCAGAAATAAGGGCTTCAAGCTCAGACGCCCAGGTTCCCCTGCAGTCCTGCCCAGTTTGCAGGGTTGTTATGATTGTACATTATGCAGCAGTGGCTATCTCCCACTGACCAAAGTAACTGCTTGAGATGCATGCATGCATCAGTCTGCCTGCATTTGCCTGTTGGAGTAGCCAATTCCCTGACACTGCACTTGCCTCAGGCTCCAACTACAGATAATGGGTCACTGTGTCAGACAGCATGAGGTAGAATATCCTCAAGGATGTTGGGTGTATTATGCTGGATTGCAGCCATAAAAATCGTCCTCTCTTAGCTGGAAAATGCAGAGTACAAACAAACGCGGGAAAACAACAAAAAAAAGCATGAAAGAGAATTTATAATTCAGACAATGTAAACAAATTCGTTAATCGTGTATAATTTTAAAACGCGGTTCAAAATATCCCTTGGGGTGGGGGATTTTTATCCAGTTAATCCTAATAATTGCACGAGAGTCTTGTTAATAGATGAATAGCGCTTCATTGATTTGAATGTTCATGCTCATTTGTATTCTCCATCCATTTTAAGGATGTACTCATTCTCAGATGTATCAGGATTTTCAAGTCATCCTGCAGAGCGCAAATATATTAGTGCTGCTTGCGGGGCTCGTAGTAGCAGACTCTCATTTTTGAGGATGAATTCAAACCCGTGTTTCTGATTTGATTGCAGTTTTGGTCCTGGAAAAACTCCTTCAACTAGCTCTCAGATCCCAAGCGTTTCTGTGCCTCAAATAATGCTGATTGAAATGAGGAGAAACTCTTTGACGAGTGCTTGAAAACACAATTTGAAAAATGAGAAAAGCCTTTTCTCGTGACTGATGCTGCAGGATGTAGTCGCCGTTAAAATGAATCAACACATTATGTAAGAATGATCGCTGTCTTTAAAATATCATTAACTCTCTGCATATCCATCTGTCGTGCTTTTGGCCAGATAGGGACGTGGGGGTGGGGGGGAAGCCAGAGGAAGGAGGGGGACGGCTGATTGGTGGTGATTTACAAACACTGTGTTCTCTGGTTACCTTTTCCCAGGCTGAAGCTGCAGAACAGGCTGGTTACACATTATTTTTTCATGCCCGCATTTAGTTTGAGGTTTTCTTACATGTGTGTGCACACACTCAAAGCCAGCCAGCACTCCCCTCTCTTCTCTCACACTCTGAATCACACACACAAAAAACATACGCGCGCGCACACACATACACACCCTCTGCATGCATTCACACACCCAGGCTTTCCTTGGCTACTGAACTGCCATTGCAGTGAGATCACCACTTTAGGAACAAGGCAGCCAGGTTTAAGAGCCCAGTCTTAACAATCCTGAATATCTTATAAACCCCTTTTTATATTATTCAGCAATCACACAAGCAAAAAATGTAGACAAAGGAAACACAAGCTATGTACCTGCCTAGCTTGGACTACATTTGCATTCTTGTTGCCAAATTTTCGAGTTTCTTTTCTGTACCTCCCCCTCATGAATTACTTCAGGTTTTTATGGTTCCTCCCTATGAGCTTTCAGCGGCTTCACGCATGAGCTGAGTTGTGAGGAAAGAATCATAAATCATTGGTCAGATCACAGTGTGGTCTCCAGCAGGCACCTTACCTGCAGTGCACATTGATGTGCTAATCATGCGCATGTGTTGTATAAGCTCAGACTTTGGTTGCCTGTCGGAAGTTTCAAGGCACAGAGTCTGTAAAGATTCAAAACTAAGGTAGGAATCCGTATCGATCAGAAGTCCATGGCTGCCAGTGCAGATGTGCTGCTCGTTATTCAGCATTTCTCTAGTCGTGGGCAAATGTTGCTTCCACATTTTTTTTTTTTTTATTCTTTTTTCTTTTTTCTTTTTTTGTGTGTGTCACTGTTCTCAACATTCACATGAGCAACCCTCACATTTAAAACACACACACACACACACACACACACACACACACACACACACACACACACACACACACACTAAATTATAGTGATAAACAAAAAAACACACATCTTTGAAGAGAAGCATGTAATCATTCCACTGTAGCGCCAGACAGTATGGAGTCAAATGTCCAGTGGTGTTTTCCTGTGTCGCATATGAACTACAATAATACACCAAAAAAAATGCATTGTTTGTGTCAAAGGGGGGAAAAGTTAAATTTACATTTGGTTTCTGGCTTCTACGCATAATCATCCGATTATACAGTCGCAGAAGCGTTCAAGGAGCAAACTTTCAGGTTGTGTGTTTGGAGCACAACAGGCTGGACTGTAACTGTAAACAAACTGTTGCCAAATACCTTTGACCCTAAACTGCTGCGCCACGAGTACTATAATCTTGTGAGAAAATCATTGATGTTAGAACTGCAGTGATGAGTTCAATAGTAGGGTTAGGAGATGGATTGCCGTTTTTACTTCATAAGAAAACAATCACCCCACACCTGTCATTTGTTTCAATTTCAGGGTTTGTTTTGTTTTTTAATACTTTTGGATGGCTGAGTGAACAAAACACACATTAGCATTTGGCTCCGACATCTTTACACCCATCAGATCCCTGACAAATATTCAGGGATGGGTTTTGGATGTGTTTCAGCCACATGCTGAACAAATACCTTTTTCAGAAGTTAGAATTTATGACCTTTTAAATGAAGTCTCTTGTGCTTGGCCTTGCAGTTTTTTGTTTAGTTTTTTTTTTCTTCCTTTTTTAAGCATTACCATTCGCCAGTGTTGACCTAACATGACCCCCTAACCCTGAGCTGTACCTTGAGATTTTAACAGTACTATAACTCTTAGCTGCTCCGCTTATCTTTCTGGTGCTTCAATTGTCAATACTTTATTGGAGATGACTAAAATTAAGAACAAGATATTGTGCATTAGTATATAATATAACTATTTCCCCCCATAACGACGATGAGTTGACGCCCCAGTTAATATCAATATAGATGTAGTTTGACGATCATTACAATGTGTTACATGTTTTCCAAGGGTAGCTCTAGTAGGCTGTATAGGCAGAGATCACATCACTAACCTCCAACTGAATCCCCTCGCCTGAATGTGATGGATTTTCACTAAATGTTTCGACAGGCTGTTTGTGTTTCTGCCTTTACAAGAAAAAGTTCTGCTGCATTTGTGGCAACAAGCACCATCAGCGAAGTGCGGCCACACTTTTGAGTGTTTGATTCTCCCCACCTTCCACACAAAGATCAGGGTCTGTGTATGGATGGGTGAGACGGAGCTGCACCCACTCTTTGCGTGCAGGCTCTCAGGAAGATACAGAGAACCCTCTTCTGCATGGGAGCTAGTATGACTGCATCAAGTCTTAGTCAGTAATGCAACTGGTCAGGTAAAATTTATAACATAACTTTTGCACCAATAATATATTTGAAAGCCGTACTGATGACAACGGGGCGAGAAAATAATAAGCTTATAAACTGATAATGAAAATACTTGTTTCTTGCAGATTTGATGCATAATTAAAGTGCATTTTGATATATATATATATTTTTTTTTTACGTCATACTTTTGCTGATATTACAAAGGAGCTGGGCTACAAGGATAAGGATTTGGTTTTGAATCCATGGGTTTACTTTTAAATCTCCAAAAGCCTTCACTGAAATATGAAATATATTTAAATATTAAAAAGAACAAGGCCAGGCTGTTAGATTGTATATTGTTTTGGCCAGACACTAAAAATCAGTGTTCATTTATTCAGCTAGATTGTTTATTCATGAGGGATTGGAGATGAGATGGTGATCACTTGCATGTGTGTTGAGAAGCCTTGCCAAAGAAAGTGGCAGGCATGGGATGAGGAAAATTGGCTTGCCTGGGCCTCTACACAGGCTCCTTTGTTTGCACGGTAGGGTAGGTGGTAACAGGGACTGGGTGGTGTTGCGTACGTGGAGGTGATGGAGAATAATAAAGAACTGACTTGCTTGTTTTTTTTCCTTTTCCTTCTGAATTATTGGCGCAGAATAAACCCTAATACCTGCTTGAGGAACTTGTTATACTTTGTGGTTATTTTGTGCGTACAGGCATGCTTTATCCTTTGAGTTTGGGTGTGAGTGCGGTTACCTATTATTGCATATTATTGGATTTCTGGTTGCTCAGTTCTCTCAATCAAAATTAAACACAGCACAGAAAAACACCTTTTCTGTGATGTGCCATCTCAGAGTGTATGCTGAGCTGTGTCACGGACAGATTGGTCATGTCTCTGTGCTTTGTTATGGCACATGTTAATTATTGAATCTCCAGCCCATGCATAAAAGTTTAATTTTTCCATTTGCATTAAACTTTTGCAAGACTGTGCTGTCTGTATTTTAATATGCAAAAATTCAGACGTTATGCTAACAAAGTCTGTAACTTGCAAGAATAATTTTCTGCTTCCAGCACAGTTTAAAAAAAAAAATAGCTCCCTGACCCGTGTCCCTTCTTGATTTTCTTTTCAAGCGCTAATGTCTTAGAACTAAATTGGTTTAGATTTTGTTTCTAAAAGAAAGTTACCAGAATGGAGTTGAATTTATGTCCAAAAGGTTGCCTCTAGCTTTTAAATACAAAATTTCCCACTTTTGTGCTTTCACTGTTACTAAGGTTTTTGTTTCTCCCCTTGTTCTTCCTCAGATGAAGAGAAAGTTGGACCATGGTCCCGAGGTCCGATCTTTCCCTTCAGGAAAAAAGCCCTGCAAAGGTCCAGAGTATCCGAGGTAAGAGAGCTTTTTCTCTCATAAGGCACCCCAGCTATCCACAGACTCATTTTCCCTTGTATTTTTGTTTATCATCTTAGGATCAAAAAGATTATGGTAGAAAATAATAAAGTAAAAATTCTTCCTCCATTGTTTTCATGCTGAACATGTTATAATTGGGACTACCAAGGCAAGCAGTAAAAAATGCCAGGAGGCATAAACAAAGGTTTGCATTGTATATGTGTAAACAGAGGGATGCTCCCTCTTCCATTCTGTCTGCACCATCCAGCCAGCCAGTGGTCCCAGATGTTTCTCTTACCCTGAATATTTAATGCCCGTGTTCACATGTAGCTCCATTAAAATTCAAACTGAACACAGCCACTTAACTGTAAATGTTGCTATGTAACTCGCTCCGTCTCAGCTTCCTCTCCCATTAAAAATGAATCAATAATGAAATCGACCCCCAGCTTCCCATTTTGCTGTCAGCAAGCAGAATGTGAGGCATCGAGGGTGCCCAGTGGATGGCTTCTGCTGCTGCCCTTACATTACAAGGCTACATGGGTACACTTTGAAGTCCTGTGCTGCCTTCCGCATCCAGATACAGCAGGAGACTCTGGGCGTGAATAGAAATATGTGGGACTGTGCACACTTTGAAGTCTGAGTTAGAAATAACACTTGCCATTTTATTAAGTATACATAGCGAGAACAAATGCTCCTCTGCAATAAATCCCGTCTCCGTGAAGGTTGTATTGATCAGTTTTTGTTGAAATGGTTTTAAAGAGGTGTTGATTCATTGTAATGCACATTCTGGAGGTTGTAGCTTGTGCTGCTGAATGGTGATGAATTGCATTGCATTATACAGAGAGGCCTTGTGTTAATCAGTCGGCACTAATTCAGTCAGACAAGGTGGATATTTATTTTATTTTATTTTTTAAATTGCAATGCTTTTGTGAAGAGTAACTTTTTCTTACTGCAAATAATTATTTTTTTCTGGAAGTAATTACGATGTGATAAAGATGTACTTGTAGAGTTGTTGATTAGCTTGAAAATAATAATCATTTTTAAAGTAAATGTCAGTTTAATTGATTTAACCTATGACTTCCCAATAATAACTAAGAATCGATTTAATTAAGAAAATTGCACTAAAGTAAAAAAAAAATAAAAAATTTAAATTTGCCTGCAAAATAAAAGCTTGGGCTTGATTGCTGTCATAATTGTCAGAGATAACACAAAAGATGAAAGTTGAATGTAAAAAGGTTTCGTTTTGTTTGTTTTTTTTGTCCATGCCTGATTTGATTTAGCAGAGTTTGCAGCAAAGCTTATTTAAAAAGCCCCTTCATAATGGGCTTCCTGTTATTCTCATTAAGAACATGCTGGGATGTGTAATATTTACATGTGTTTTTCTTAATTGCAGTGACAGCAGTGCTTTTACAGCCTCCACACCCCTACTTAGACTGCAATTTAGTTACGCTATTTGTCTTTAAAGGTCTCATATCAGCATTGGTCTTCAAGATGCTTTGTTTCCTCCCTTTTAAAATTACAGCCCGACGGGAATTGTCCCATGTCCGGCCACACCCACCACATTTGGCCACATCAGAACAGCCAATGGTCAGGGGCAACAGAGACGACGTATCACCTCAATCCAGCCACCCACGGGTCTCCAGGAATGGCTCCGAACATTTCAGGTGAGCGCTCTGGAGTCTTTTTCTTTTTCTTTCTTTCTCCCCACTCTTGGGCGATTCTGAACCCTCGAGGAAAAGCTCATCACAAAGCAGATGTTGCGTCCAATCAATGTTCACTTAGTCTCCGAGATAATTGCTGCCTTGTTGTTGTGGCCCAGCACATTACCATAGGCACTGTAGCGTGGAATTGGGATTAGCCGTACCTGTTCAGACTGAAAAGCAGAGTTATAAGATCACATTAGTCTACTCTACACTTTTTATTTAACCTTTATTTAACCAGGAACTCCCGCTGGGATTAAAATCCTTTTAAAGGAAGTCATGGCCTGTGCTTTTCTTCTTCTTTTTTTTCCCTCTGCGATCCTCTGAAATGGAGACGTTACTTCAGTGTGAATGTCTTCCATGAGCAAAGTTGGCATAAAAACTTTTGTCCTCTTTTTAGCCACTTAAGTAATTAACTGTCATTTACTCTAGAGACTAGCAAAGACATGATGTAATATTATAGTTTACCCCCTATTTATGGTAAATTTCCTATGTTATCATTCTCTGATGGATACAACCTAATAGAGTCATTTCTTTCATGTTAAACTGAAGCGCTAATGACTTCAAGGAAATAGGATGTCATTTAAACATATTAGCCTGGATTGGGCCTCTCTGATTTTCTATATAATGGGTTGCCATGGATTTCATTACCTAAGAGAGTTTAAACCTATTATCTTTGAGCAGCAGGGTGAACCCGTGACACCTTGGTGTTTGTTTTACATATATTAGTCCTCAGGCCAGAACATCAGTCTGCTCTCTTTAATCGTACAGCTGAAGCTACAGGGGGATAAACCTCAAGTTCACATTCTGTACATTCCCCAGTCCAGTCCAAGCCTGCATGTAGCTCCCGTTAGTGAGAAACACCTCTTACATACGTGCACCATCACCGACACCTCGCATATCACATCCCAGGATTAGTTGGAGATTTTTAGAAATGGGCTTATTTCTCCTTTTTGTCGAGTTAAATGAGGAATCTGCTGCCACTCGTGTCTTTAGATGAAATGTAAAGATACAACAAGTGGCTACTTACATTAGCTTTGCAGAAAGAGTGGCAACAAAGGGAAACTCTTAAGATGACTGTGTTAAAGGTAACAAAATCCACCTAATGTCTAAAGCTTATTCATTAGCATATCTCCGTTGTTTAATTTGTACTCGAGCAGAAGTGTAAAAACAATGGGCCTCAGTCTTAATTGTCATTGTCATTAGAACTGGTGTAAAAGATCACATGATTGCCTCTTTAGTCTTTATAGCTTGTAGACATCCTCCTTGTTGTAATCTGTTTTGTTCACAGTTGTTGTTTTTTAAAGAAAGTTTAGTTTGAGGGGCTGTATGAGAAGCTTGGACTGTTTTTTGAGTCGTCCGGGGGTTTGTGTTGCCCAGGCCTGGTCTACGGACACTTTGTCAAGCTTAAATTAGAAAAAAGCATCTTTGAAAAACACTGCAGGCTGTAGTTTGAAAGTTTACTGGACAAAAAGGTTCTCAGCTCTGGTGTTCAGGTTTCTGTGGGAGTGCAAATTATCAGTTGTGAAAACACATAAGTAGCTGTTGCACAGCCCCCTCCCTCCCTCTGTCAGGGAGGGGGTCTCTTAACTGCCTGATTAGCTTTAGAACCAACACCTCTGGCTAAAGCTTTTAGCTGCCAAATTACAGGTGGTTTGCGTATGCCAGATTTTCCACCCTGCCTCGTAGCCTGTAATCATTGTCTGGATTTCAGTGCTCCACAGAGGGGAAAACAACTATGACTGTGGGGTCCAACATACGGTTAGAGAGCTGCTCAGCAGTAACTGAATGTTCAAGCAGAAGAAATAAGCATGCTGACTACTAATAATGGTCTTGATGGAGTCTAGTTCCTCGTATTCACATTTTCCACTGCTGGAAATATGCAGGTGCCTCGAGCAATCCGGTGCTGCAGTGGAGGGCACGTAGGGAACATTAAGGTGTCAGGCATCCTGCACATGGAAGGATGCTTCCAAGGCGCTCCAATCCAAGTTCAGACTTGGAAGAAAAACGTACACAAGAACACGTAGGCGTCATTCTGTTCCCACAATGCCCCAATGCTGTTTTCAATTTGTGCTACTTGTGGATGTATACGAAATATGCTGCTGATGGTGTTAAATTAGTCCACTGCCAGGTGGTTTAGAGCAACCAGACAAAGAAAAAGGCACACAATTCAGAGGAACAGACCGAAATAAAAGCAGGGAAGGTACCTGTAATCTTTGTAAAAGTAGCAGGGACAGTTATTGTGGTTGGATAAATAAAAGCAAAGTTCATAAAATCACTTTAAAGTCATATTATTTTAACATAAACCTTCGGTTCCTCTGGGTAATCTCTTAACTTGCCTCATAGCTTTGGCTGCAAAGAAATGTTTTTACAAGTGGGTCACTGTTTTCTTTCCTCATGCACACAATCCTGTATTTAAATTGAAGGAAGAAAAAGCTATGCATCTGTTTTATGGGAAACCAAATGCATTCAACACATTCATTAGGCTTCAAGGTAAATTACAAGAAAACTCCATAAAGCTCCTCTTTTTTTATGTTGCTGCAAAGTCATCAAATCCTGCTAGAAGCTCTGTAAACCCTAGATTTAAAATTAACTTCTTGTCATACATTTTTTTCCCAAGCATAATACATAATGTAGCGGCGAGGGAGAAAGTTTTGATCTAAAATAACATTACATTTTGCTGTGATGTTCTGTACATGACTGACACCATTGCACCTCTGGTGTTTTCTACTAAATTGGCCTTTTTTTTCCCATTGACCCAGGCTTCGACTTTGAAACAGCCACATTTAATGGTTCCCGTCTTCAAAGTAAAGTCATTTGAATAATTTCAATTTTCTCTCTTTGTGTTTGTGTTTGTGTGTGTGTGTGTGTGTGTCTCTGTCTGTCTTCCAGAGCTGGACTGGCCCAGAGAAGCTGCTGGCGCTGGATGAGTTGATTGACAGCTGTGAGCCCACACAAGTGAAGCATATGATGCAGGTGATCGAGCCGCAGTTTCAGCGAGACTTCATCTCCCTGCTGCCCAAAGAAGTGAGTTCCCCTCAAGCGCCTCGCCCCCTCTGCCTCGGCTTCCTGTGTATTCTGACCTGAACTCCCACAAGAAGCTTTTATATTTGTTCTCGAATGAACACACCTCAAAAAGACACAAGGCAGTCGTCTCAGCCTTGATCGTCCGTCGGTCTTCCCTCGCATCATTTTAGGGCATCCATAGTGGGTGTCTTGCTTTTTGCTCTACATCATAACTGACAAAACAAACAATGTAAAGTGGCACGCTGATAATGTGACATAGGGGATTCTTAACAAATCGGCCTCAATTTGCTGAAGCTTGTGTAGCAGATCAGAGACTTCACACCTTGTCTGGCAGGTGTCAGGATTGAGGGTGGGTGGGGGTAGCGTGGAGAGTGAGGCAATAGGATGCAACATTTCAAGGTGTTGGTGTCACTTGCTCTAAAGCCAAATATACAAACAGCTTTATGTGTGTTTGCACCGGTACATGAGACCTCTCCTTTCATTCTGTTTCTCCTTAAAAGAAAAATGAGCAAAGAAACCAAACAACAACAACAACAAGTGGCTTTGACTTCTTTTGATAATCCCACCTCTCCTCTTAGATCCAGCTCCAGGAAAAATATTAGGTGTGGCTGTCAAGTAATTTTAGCAGGACGGTCCCTGTGGGTTACACTTGAGATACAGTCGAAATTGAAACTATGAACAGATTCTGCAGAAGGCTGAGTGTCAGACTTTAAAAGCAATTTGAGATTGATTTGTAAAACTATTAAAATATCCTCTGGCCTGTAATGATGGCCGGCTTAGATGGGCTTTGGGGTGATTCAGGTATAACGGTGACTTGAAGTAGACCTAACTGTGTAGTGTAACACATTTTAAACCAAGGAGAAGAGATGATTGAACAAATTAAGACTTACTTTTGACTGATTAATTTTGTGTGGATGAATCTAGCATATTAATTCACTATAGCTGAATAGAGTATAGACAGATTCTCAGTCACTATTATGGATCCATCATTAATTAAAATGGAGAAGACAACTGATTAATTGGCTGTGATGGAAAAGCAATACGAGCACATCACTTTGAGCTGTCAGAAATGATATATGATGACGACTTTACATTTTTCCCTAAACTTTTCAGATCAATAATAATTGACAGCTGGAGACCATCCTAAGTAATTTGACTCCATGCTGATGTTCGTGGCAACACACCTGAATTTGTTACTCTGTCGTGGGGTCGCTGTCATCTCATATTGTTGTCGGATAATGAAAGAACAATATTTACACAGCAGCTTACGCCTCATACTGTCAAATGAACCCGTAATCCTTTTTTATGCAGATGCACAACAATCTCTTGACCTAACAGGTGATCCAGCTCATTGCTTTTGTGCAAATATATATGTATTTGAATTTGATTGTTAGTGGAACAAAAAAGCAGGTGACTATCTTTCTGGTTTATGCTCATTTGGTTCAATGAGCTGTGGCATTGTACCTGCGCTGAGAAGCTCAATGTAAAAATTTTTACAGACATGTCGACTCATCTCAACGACTGTTGTACAAGCTACACTAATTATCCTGCATTTGTTTTCTTAGATTTTTTTCTCCCCCTTATTCCTTTTTATTCTCCTATATTTGTTCAGCACATCCACACTAGAACACTTTAATTTTATCATGTGTGCTGCGTTTATGCCTAGAACCCACACCATGCCACAACTTTAAACCCTGAAATGGACTTTTGGGGGATAGTTTTAGTTTGAAAAGTCATTAATGTGAGTTTGGATGGACAGAAACGGGACTTCTGGAAACAATCATCCAGGTTTTCATCTCACAAGACTAAAAAAGTAAACCTGTCATCTTCTGCTTTTGGCTAATCCCATTAGCTTCAATCTCACCCTATCCCTAGCATCCTCTTCTCTCACACCACCTCCTGCATGTTCTTCACTACATCCATGAACCTTTTTTGCGATCTTTCTCTTATCTTCCTACCTGGCAGTCTTCCTTTGTCCAGTATGTTCACTATCCCTCCTCTGCACATGTCCAAACCGTCTCAGCTTTGCCTCTCTCTTTGTCTCCAAACAGCTGAACCTGAGCTGTCTCTCTAATGTACTCATTTCTAATCCTGTCTCTCCTGGTCAAGCTGTAAACTCTTAGTCTATTCTTCTTGGTCAATATATGATGTACATTTAATGTACATCATATATTGACCATTAGGTTATTGAAAATATGTTATGTATGTCACCTTAAACTGTTGTTTACATCAACTGTAGGAAGTTATAGCTTCTTTTTCCTCCCCCCATTACTGCTTTACACCTTTCACATTGCTCGTCCTTGTCTTTCAACAGCTGGCTTTATACGTGCTGTCATTCCTGGAACCGAAGGACCTCCTCCAAGCAGCACAGACGTGTCGCTACTGGCGCATCCTTGCAGAAGACAACCTGCTGTGGAGGGAGAAATGCAGGGAAGAGGGTGAGCCTAACTGTTTGCAACAGATGCAGGCAGACAGACACTATGCGGTCGCCCAGCGGGAGCAGTCTGAAGCGACTGCTGTGCTTAGAATTGTGGTTATTCCTGTTTGGAAAAATGCACTTTTATTGAAAAACAAGGACATTTTAGTCCAACTGGCTTCTTTTCTACCTTCTCACAGGTATCGATGAGCCCCTTACCCTGAAGAAGAGAAAAATTGTCAAGCCTGGCTTCACTCACAGCCCCTGGAAGAGTGCCTACATCAGGCAGCACAGAATAGACACTAACTGGAGGAGAGGGGACCTCAAATCACCTAAGGTAGCTTTTCTTTCGAACTTAAATTCCCCACAGGTTAGAGGAGTTTTACAGATCTGATCAAATGGCCTTGAGGCACAGAAAGATGGTTCAATAAGAGTCTGAAGTGTTAAACTGATGGAAAGTTAGTGAACAGTCAGGTTTGTGCTCCCAGGTATTTGTTTGGAATATTAATTGAGCTGGAGCACAGGAAAATCTTATTCTCCTTCACATTAAAGACTCGCCGTCTCTTTTACCTGTTCAGAAGCTTCTCATAGAGCATGACCAGCATGCTGAAGCTCATCCTTAATGGACCTTGTACGCTGTAGCTGTTTGTGAAACGGCTGCAGGTCATTTTAGGCCGCGACTGGCATAAATTAGTTCCCCACGCTCGTTATAGTCCTTTGCATATGCAGTGTGCCCTGTCAGTTGCTGAGCTCGCAGTCCTGTGACCCACTAGCTGAGACTGAATGTATGCAGCACTGCTTAAAGCGCTGTGTACACCTGCAGCACTTGATGACATTTTCACTTTGATGCATAAGAAGTGTTACTGTCAGCATCATTATTTGCGTTGTCATTCCACATCAAATCTTCCTCCGTGCCCTTCCCGCTTCATCTCTTTTCATGTGTCCCATTTAAAGGTGCTCAAAGGCCACGATGACCATGTGATCACCTGCCTCCAGTTCTGTGGCAATCGCATCGTCAGCGGCTCTGACGACAACACGCTGAAAGTCTGGTCAGCTATCACAGGAAAGGTAAGAGTTGAATACTGTTACATTTTGGATGTACGCAGAAGAGAAGGGAGGCAGGCACTAATATGAATAATGGGCTGTTTGGTTAATCATACTACTTTTTACACTCATTGATTAGAAGTGAAGGTAACAACTGTGTTGAATTGATTTAAATACTGTATCTTTAGTGCTCCCACTGATATAATTTTGCGTTACACTACCACATAAAAATCTTCCTGGGAAGACTGCTTTCTGTCCCAGTCTCTCCTCTCTTATATTTATCTATTTTGCAGACTTGTAACACAGCCCATGTCCACACGCGGTGTTAGTATTCATAGCTGAAGCTGGTGCAGACACACAGGCGTTGTGCTGCAGCTTTACGCTGTGTATTAAAAAGAAAGGCAGTGGTTGCTCTGTGATATTGGAGAGCGCTTTACAGATCGTGGTAAATCACAACACTTTCATGCCTCAATGCTGGACTCCTTTCTCAAAAGAAGTTTTCACAAAAAGTCCTTCATTATTTCTCTTCCCAGTCTATCCCTTTTGCTTTTTTTACTCAGATAAATGACATAAGGCTGGGCTTGAACTTGGTCTTTAAAAATGAAAACTTTCAAAGAAAAACCTCTCAAAGGGGGAAAAAAAAAGATGTTCTGCATGATCACAGTGGGGCGTTTCGGCCTCACTTTCACATGTAAAAGAGTTGAGTTTGCTTTTCATTGCTGCGGAGATTTGGCTGAACACATAAAGTAAAGTTGGCTCTCTCCCAACTGGTGATTACATGCATATCAGTCACAGTCACATTTGCTGATCTGAACAGATCTTGCCAAGGTCATCCGATAGGCATGGAGCACAGTTTGGCTCTCCTACACCCAAAGACTAATATCTGGATGACAGGTTGCTGAATTATAGCTGCAGTAGCTCCATATTGGTGGTGGAAGCCTGTGATGAGTCACATCACCAGCAGGCTCTAAAGCCCCCCCCCCAAAACCCATCCTGCATTCAGAATGACATCACAGACAGAGGTTATTGTATGCGCTTTCTACAATGCTAATCTGCCTCAGGATTGTTTGTTTACATTAGTCATGAAGGCGAGATGAGCCTAAATCCGTGTTTGGTTGCTGTATTCAGAGCACACATTCCCTCTGGATTTCATCTCTTTGCCTCCTTAGCTCTCAGCACCACAGAGAGTGAATCCCTCACTGGAGAGGAATGGCCAGTTAAGCCGAATCGACCATTTCGGTGAAGTGGCTGTCGATGCCAGTAAAACTGTAAAGTAAAAATACAATGAGATTACCGGCCCCTGGATTTGTTTTTTCTCCCTGCTGTCAGAATTCTTTATAGTCTTTGCCAGCTTATTTGAAGACTTGATTGCTACTTTTTCTTAGTCTGTCTCTGAGATGCAGGTCTGTAAAGTGGCTGTCAGTGATCTTGAAGTGTTACACAGCTTACAATGGCTGCTGTAACTACCAGTGTTCATATCAATATCATTTCTCTTGTACTTTTTTTTTTTTGGTGGGGTGGGGGTGGGGGGGTTGTCATATTGCACGTCTCCCAAGATTGTAGCCATTATCTTTTCTCTGTAATTTTTTTTGTAGTAATTTATTTTAATTTCCTGCACCTTTTTGTAAACAAATCTTTCAACTTCAGCAAAGCACAGTCACCCAGTCTCTACTTCTACAGCCCTGCCACTTAACTCTTACTGAGACCTGGATCAATAAGAGACTGCAGCATGGTGATCAGCTGAGATGAGAAACTGTGATTGTGTTATACTTTTTTTTTAATATATAAATCATGCTCTGAAAGGACGGTATGTTTGATTCGGGGTCAGAAGTAGTCCCTCAAATCAGTAATGACTTTGGTGACTGATTATAAATTACAAAGGTAAATTGGCTCAGAGATCAGTGTGGTTACCTTTTCTCCAGGAGAGTGCAGAGATCCACCTGCAGCAGCATGCTTTGCAGCTGGGTGATTTAAAAAGTCGGGATGGGAAAAGAAATTGGTCACTGCGTAGACAATTTGTGCCAAAGAAAGACCACTATTAACGCTTCCCTCCCGTTTGTGCTCCTCTGCCTCAGAAATATTGCCTCCACTTTAGAGGCATCGGTACAGTTCCCCTGTGATGGGATACTGTGGGGTGACTCAAAGGCTGCTGCATTCAAAATGTTCTCAGTGTTGTCTTTACACCAAATACTGCATCCGATCAGATGTTTCCATCGGCTGTTTAATGAATCTGTTGACAATACCCTCTTCTCTCCCAGATTTGTTTGTGAATTGTGTATTTTTCAAACTCATTAGGTATTTTTTAGCATAGAAAGTGTGCATTAGATTAATAAGCCTCATTTGCATGAGCATGGCCTAAATTTTTAATTGCTCAACAAATATTCATCAGATGCAGTTACTCCAGCAAAAATAGAGCTTTAACAAACACCACAACCAGCATTTGCCCTTTCATCTTTGCAGCTAGTTTTGTCCTGCCCCTCGATTCATCTTGTTATGTAAAACACGGCGACTTGAACCCGTTCTGTGAGGTAATCAGGGAATTATTATATGAGAATATTTTATATAAAGACTTCCACACCTGGAACAAAACTGGGTTGCTAGCTAGTAATCAGGTTAGACAGTGGGTTTTATTTATGGTGGAAGTACTGCAAGAAGCAAGCAGTGCTTAAATTTTAAACAATATAACATTATCTGCTGGATCTTGGAGACGTGTGGTCTGGCAGATCTTCAAAGCTTCTTTTTCCTGCTGAAGAAACTGTTGAGTAGACGGTTCTTGAAGGCTCCGTCTTTGGCTGGATGGACCTTTGTCTTTGCTTGTCTCCAGCTTCAGCCGGGGACGTCAATCTTCCATCCAAGCACACAAACAAACACATCTGGCTGCTTCAAAGGTGGCTACCTTGTGCTTAACAGAGCAGAGTGTGTCCTTGGTGGTGCCTGTCAGAGGCAGCCTCAGCTGTCAGGCAGATTTAAGATGGCAGAGCTGCGGACTACCGTCGTATTCAGGGAGAGGTGTCCTCTGCGAGACGCTTTAGCCGCATTGACACGCGTCCCCTGTTTTTAACTGAAAACAAGGGGAGATCCACAGATTAGAGGTGGCTTTGGGAACTGTTAACAGACTGATTAGCGAGCATCTGAAATCATTCATTAAATGAAAGTATGGATTATTTCTCCATGTAGATCAACCTGTATCAAGATTCTTATCCTCAGCTGATTGAATATTGTGCATTCATAACGAAGCCTCTTTTTTTTTCTCTCTCGCTCTTTCTGTGGAGGAAGCACCGTGTGATTACCCATACTTATGTGACACGTCTGTATTATCCACTTAGTACTTGGAGACAAACAGTAGATCAAAACCATGTCATCAAATCATCAACACAAGGAAAAGGCAAGTAAGAGAGGGGAAGAACACATTAGTAAGACTCTGTTCGCCTGCCGCTTTGGTTATGCGTTTCATAGTCTATCTTGAGACATTTGTAACCTCTCGTTCCTCTACTGTCAAACAGTCAAGTATGGAAATGAAACTATAGCCGCAGTAATCTCTTAATCATCTGGTATCAGGCTATAATTATCTGATGGCTTCACCTGAGCCAGTTTATTTTAACCTTTGCTAAGCATTAGTTGAACCCACATTGAGCCCTACATGTGGCCCACATTTTCTCATATTTGAGGTCTTGAAAGGTGGGCTGTTCAATACAAAGGGAAATCTCCTGCATTTGTCTTTCAATGAGGCCAGCTCTCAGGTTGCTAAAGCGGATACTCCCCCGCCACAGTTTTTAAACCAAGACGAGATCTGAAGCAAATGTAAAGCATTGTATGAAAACCCTCATGTGTTTAAAACGGGGGGAAAAAGGCAGGCCTTCACACATTCATTAAACGAGCGCTAATCTTCTTTCATTCTTTGGAACCGGCTTATTTTATGTTTGTTTCACAGACAGATAAAGATGCCTAAGCCCTTCATTTCAGATATTCTCTCTTCCCACGTAGTGTTTGAGTAGGCTTTAATCACACTCTCGTTCTTGGAGGCTTTGATTTATGGGAAAAATCCTGCATTATTGTATCCCCAGCGTGATGCAATAAACTGCAGGCCTGTAGTTGAGTGTTACGCAGCAGTATCGCTCATTCATCACTAATGGAAATTAAAATGTGTGCACAAACACTGAAAGTAATCCTCAGGATACAACGCAGTTTTCTGGGGGGTTACATTTCAGTGGCAGACTCCACTCTAAACCTGACATGAGCACAGCAACTGCAACTTCTACAGTTTTTTCCTCCCTAAAAGAATTTAAATTGAATGAGTTTGGGAGGCTCGAATGGGACAAACTGCTTGGACACAGATTGAGTTGATCAGAAAGATTTCCATAAGTGCTGTAATCAATAACTAATCTCCTGTCCCTAATGAGGATGAATGGAGACATTTTAGTGAAGACTGTCATCAACCCTTCCTGCAAATGATTTGGCCACTTTCTGAAACTTACGTTAAATCTTGTGCAGAGCTCTGGGAGGTTTTGTCCCAGCACGACAGCAGCAAGTGTGGACTCAGTTTTTCCTTACTGTAAAATGTCAAATTAAAATTTTTTCCCCCCTGAAGGCAGCGAGAGGGCATGCAGGAAGAGAAAATCCCGAATGAGATTTTATGAATTCTTAAGCTGAGCTTTGATATGTATGAATGCCATCACCCCAAATGCCTTTCAAATGAACTTTTCTAACATCAGAAGTCTGTACTGTCCATCAGGAATCCTGATCAAGACTCTCCTTCTTCTCCTCTTTAGTGTCTGCGGACATTGGTGGGCCACACAGGGGGCGTGTGGTCATCCCAGATGCGAGACAACATTATCATCAGCGGCTCGACTGATCGCACACTCAAGGTCTGGAACGCAGAGACGGGAGAATGTATCCACACCCTCTATGGGCATACCTCAACAGTGCGCTGCATGCACCTACATGAGAAAAGGTACGGAGCAGCTCACTGCTGTGCTTTAAGCCCAAGCTTGAAGGCTCTATGATGCTTTCGATGAGATGAAGATTTGCCCGATCAGTCTTGAGCTGAAATGAGTAGAAAATGTTTTTCATAATAAATTTAGTTTAAGCCTTTTTTTCAGGCTAAACTTATCAAATACTACCAGGTTCCACTAATTGTTGCTTTCATCGCTCGTGTGTGATATTAAACTGATTTTCTTTGCGTTTTAGATAAACAGAAAAGCGTTTTGTGCTATTGATATAGCAATCTCTGAAAATAATAGTTTTGTTAGTGTCATCCTTAAATGGGTCAATTTTAGTATTGTAGTGAGCTTTGCCAATTGTGTACTGCTGTGTGAAACTGTGCGCCTTCCTGTTTAAGAAATTGTCATGTTTTATTTAACCCTTAGATGTTGTTTTTCTTCAAAATCTTTAAAAGTTGTAATATATTCATATTCCAGGTATTCCTCATAAAATGTCTGTAACATGAGGCCATTTCTATTTTTATTTATTTTTTCATTAATTAAAAAAAAATGCAGTTTTTGTATCACTACCCCGCTCTTCCATAAGTGGGGTCAAAAATGACCCCAAGCAGTTCCTCTGGAATCTTCTATGAAACTTTCATTCTTAGCAACTCTGACTGTCCCACTTACACTTCTGATGGATCAAGAATTCATTTTTACACAGTAACAGACATGATTTATAGTCAGGGCTGCACATAAGTGGTCCGCAGGTGTGCATTCGGTGTCAAAATAAAAGTATTCCAAGAAATTCCGAGAATATGCGCTTCTTTTGCGGTGGAGGAACACCAAAGTAATTGCTTACGGAGCTTGCTTCTTCGACATCTTTAAGAGTTCTGAACAAATGTCTGTCCTCCTCCAGATTATCTTATGTACGCAAACGTGCGTTGCAACTTGTTATCTGGTGCGTGTCTTTTATTTTGACAGCGAATGCGCACCTGCAGACCATTTATGATGTATTTTTTTTGTTTGTTAAATATCTAAAGTAACATGGCTGCCATGAGGCCAGCTAGAATCCCTGTGGCCCTACAAATGATCCAGGCCCATCGGAGGAAATGGATATTGAGTCTAACAGGATGAATTAGACGGCCAGGGCTTGCACCTGGGTTTAGTACTGTCTCCCCAATAGATGCATGGAAGATGCTCATGTCTGATAATATAATAGAAGAGGTGCTGACATGCACAAACATGGAGCCGTGAAGCGTAGCCACAGACAGGGGAAAGGTTTGAAAAAATGTAATCAAACTTAAGCTCCTAGCCTTCATTTGATTGACCATTCTTGCAGGAAGTGAGAAGAACTGGGATGTACCAGGTGGTGTGCTTTTTGGGAGTCCTCTGCATAACCCATTGTACAAGGCCACTATGTCAATTCAAAGATTTAAAGATATTCGCCGTTTCTTGCACTTTGATGCCAAGAGGACCAGAGCCTACCGACTGAAAACAAACCACATGGTAGCTTTCCGCTACATATGGGGCCTGTTCCTGGTCAACTGCAGGCAGAAATTCATCCTCAGTGATTGAGTTACAGTGGATGAACAACTTGTGCCTTTCAGAGGGAAGGCCCAGCTTCTGCAGTATATGCCGAGCAAGCATACAAGAGTGATACAAAAACTCCAATATCTTAAAATTAATGAAAAAATAAATAAAAATGCAAAGGGCCTCATGTCACAAACATGTTTTATGAGGAATACCTCAAATATGAAAATATAACTCTTCGTTTTAAAGATTTTGAAGAATAACAACAGAGTTTATAGCAAAAGGCATTGATTTTATTTGGGGTCATTTTTGACCCCACTCGTGGAAGAGTGTAGGTATTGGTAGGTTGTGCATCCAAGGGTTAATACTCTTGTTTTCTTGCTGGTAGGAACGCTGGCTCTGCCTGATCTGTGCCTGAAATCAAAGTTGATCCACACATGAGCAAAGTGCTGAAATGAGTACCGGTTACCTCATGTCATGTCTGTGTGTGTCGTTCAGTTTTATACACGAGTATAGACTTTACTTATTTATTTTTATCCTTTTGTAGAAAAAGGTCCAAACATGTTGCCTGACCTTGTTCATGGATTTCAAAATTGGCTTCAAGTGCTAATAAGAATTAAATGAAACCTTTTTTTCCCCCCCCATAATTTGTATAACTAGGGATAAGATTTTACTTCAGTCTTTTCCCCCCAGTGTCTTAACAATAAGAGTCCATCTACTACAGTCTAAGCTTTTATTTTGAAAGTTCTTGGTAGAGACAAGCTTTTTTTTTTTTTTTTTTTTTTGCATGTGTACAGCATATTAGGCACCAGTGCCTCTTTTGTCTGTTTATTAGATGTAAGGCTACAGGGAGCATCTAGTTAGCATAGCTTGGCAGAAACAGTGAATCTGTCTGTCTCAAACATTTACAGCAGTCCAGCAGCATCTCCAAAGCTCACAAACTCATGTTTCACATGTTTTTTTTGGCTCTACTGTACTCTATGGGATAAATATTCGTTTTAATTGGTGTAAAAAACCATATAACTTTCAGAAATAAGAAACACAGGATAGATTAATCCTTGAATTTTCCTTATGATTCATTACACCCACATTTACAGCCATCCCATCTGGTAAATAAGAGCAACTGTACAACGGTAAAAGAGGACAGCATCTATGAAAGAGAGCATGTGGTTTCATAGTGATTAAATGGACCCTGTGAGGCAACTTAAGTGAACTGCTGCTCACTTATTCACTCAGTATCACACTCTGGAGACTCGAAGTGCTCTTTTCGCCTTAGGGCCCACCAAGGTTTTTGTGTAGCATTTGATTACTCACTCAGTGGAAATGCTGTGAGCTGCTGGTAGATGGTGAATAACATGTTGGTGATTTCTATCTGTGTAGCACCGTGAGGCGTTTAATAAATAGAGTATGGGCTGTGTGTATCTACAGCATGTTTTGTTTTGTTTTGTTTTATTTTATTTTATGTATTTATTTATTTTTGGCTAAATTGAAATAGCCCGTAGAAAATTTAAGGTCAAATGCGGAGAGATGCCCGTCTTAGTCCTTACTGAAGTGTCTTGAAGCTGATGGAAGTTGATGAAAGTATTGACCTTAAGTGTGATAATCTGAAAAATGTTCAACTTGAGTAACTGTCACTCTAAAAGGAGTTTCTCTTCCTGTAACCGGTAATATATATTTCCATTCAGGGTGAATTCACAGATCAGGGCGGCTGTTAAAGACAGGTGTGGGGGTTTATTTCTACATTCATGTATGAACATGAATGTGATGCTGTGGGTTACTCATTGTCAGAGTAGTGAGGATCCGTGCATACGTGCCTCATTATTCTGTCAGTGCATTTACCATATTATGAATGAGCAGTTGTGTGGAGTATTGAATTTAATCTTGGAGAATGGATGACTTTAAATGCACGTTACATCTGTGGGAAAGCAGCTCAGCATAAAGGCAGCTATTGAATTCACGGTGGTTTGAACTGATTACTGCACCCGTACTCATCATCTCTCTCATTCATTCCTGAATCTCTCCTGAATATCTGTGTTGTGCTACGGTTACCTTTCTCACTGTCTGCGTTTGTGTCATGCAGGGTGGTCAGTGGATCTCGTGATGCCACGCTGCGCGTCTGGGACATTGATTCAGGTCAGTGTTTACACGTCCTCATGGGCCACGTGGCGGCAGTGCGCTGCGTCCAGTATGACGGGCGACGGGTGGTCAGCGGTGCCTACGACTTCATGGTGAAAGTTTGGGACCCCGAGATGGAGACCTGCCTCCACACGCTGCAAGGCCACACAAACAGAGTGTACTCATTACAGGTGAGGCCTCCCACAGCATTAAAGAAAAGACTGGTGTATACCAATCAACCTTGGAGCCAAATGAAATGTACGAGTTACTTTGTTTTAGAGTCTTTGAGAACTCGTATAAAAACATTCTCGTTTATGACGCAATGAATCAGATGCAGTTGGTAGTTTTTAGGTCCATATATGTAAGAACTCGTCTAACTACATTATTGTAAGGGCTGTCTGTAAGACTGATGTGAGCATAAAAGAGGCTTTAACCATGTTTGACTATTGTCAAAGGGCCGGATTTGCTAATCTAAAAGAAATAGCACAAGGCTTCAATAAGCATAAAGCAAGCCGGTTGTGTGCGTGACTTTCTACCAGAATTTATGAGCAACCAGTTCATCTCAGCCTTAACGAGAGTAGGACAGATTAAGGTGGCAAGCAAACACATGTGGGTTTGAGTGATCTACTAAAAACACAGCTTGTTGCTTACAATTTGTCAAACATAATACAGTCGTTAGTTTTATGCATGCATTTCTCTCTCAGCACGGCAGCATAGGCCAGAGACGGTGGAAGTTTTCTGTGGTAGAAACAATGATGTACTGGAGGAATGGGAGAAAATTTAAATAAACATTTCAAAATTACAATATCCAATCTTTTCTGCAAATGTGACACCTCTCCTACACTATTGGTGGAAGTTCTGTGGGTGGCTCAGGTGTGAAATGTATAGTTCCCTTTCAGTCGATTCACTCGGTACAACACATAAGTATGGGATATCACGCCCTCGCGTGTCCTGGCTGAAGAAACCTTTATTCACGCCTTTACGGCAGATGACGTGTGATGACACGCGCAAGGCCCCGCCCGCACATATAGCCGCTGCCATCACCGTCATCCCTCAGTTCTTACGCTCTTCACCTCGCTGAGAACACCTCTGCTGAGTTGGGCTAGCTAGCTACTGCTAGTTAGCTCCGTTGTCTGCCAACTTGAACCTAGCTTAACTGCCCCTGTTGGTGTTAGCCTCCACCGCCCAACTGGTGCGTAGGCTGCCCGCGGAGCGCTATTTTCAAGTTTTTCTTGTGCAGCGTTTCGCTTTGCGTTTTGGGAATGGACTCCAAACCGAAGCGAGCAAAGCAGAAATCTTCTGTTCGCCCCTGTCCTCAGGGATGTGGTTTCTCTTTGCACGACAGCGACCAGCACGATGCCTGCCCTGTCTGCCTGGGGATCGTCCACGCTAGGAGAGCGTTGACGGAGCCCGAAGCTTGTGCGTTTTGTCGCCAGCTCCGACGCTCGACCCTGGAAAGACGGGTGACGTTTGTGGAAAGAGTGCTGGGACGCTCGGCTGTCGCACGGCATGACCCTCTTCTTTCCGAGTCTGGAGCCCCGGCTTCGTCCGAGTCCGAAGACGAAAATTTTCAGGTCGATGTCCCTGCGATTAGCTGGGCTGACCACATGGAATACGTTGACGGGTTAGCCGATGACGGACCGGAACCATGCAGGAGCGCTGACGGGCTTCAGCCTGGGTTGAAGCCCGCCAGCGCTCCCCAGGAAGACGATGACGTGCTGGACATCGGCCTGGACATCCATGGTTTGTCGGAGGATGAGCAGGAGAGCTCATTGTCGACCCAATATGCCGCCGCTGCTGCGCCGGTCGGCCACGATGACACCTCTCTTTTCTCCCTGTTTCGCCGTGCCGCTGAGAAGCTGCAGGTGGACTGGCCCTCTCCTCCACCAGCTCGGAAGCCGTCGCGGTTTGCGGGTTTTTTCCTTCCACCGGAGCCCGCAACGGCCAAAAACTGCCTCCCCATGTTCCCAGACTTTCTCTGCGAGCTAACAGCGTCATGGGACAAACCTCTGTCTACCCGCGTCACTGTGCCCGGCTATGGACAGTACATGGAATTGGACGGCGCCGAGGGAGCTGGTTTAGCTAACCCACCCCCTATGGAGCCGTCTCTGGCTGCTTATCTGGCCCCGTCCCATAACCATGGTGTCGGTGGCCCCGCAACTCTGCCGTCCAAGCACTGCAGATTCTCGGCCTCGCAGCTGGAGAAGATTTATCGGGCTCAGGCCGGCACCGCTCGAGCCATGAGCTCCGTCACCATGCTCCAGACGTACCAAGCAATGTGCCTGGCGGAGCTTGGATCGCTGGTTCCGGAGGACAGCCCGCTGTCACCTCTTCTTGACGAGGTTAGAGTCACCACGGATTACATCCTCCGTGCGTCTCGCTGTGCAGCGCTCTCCCTGGGCAGAGGGATGGCTTCGACAGTGGTGGCGCAGAGGCACCTGTGGCTGACCCTCTCCGACGTCCCTGATAGAGACAGAGCTGTGTATCTGGACGCACCAGTGTCTGCGGCTGGGTTATTCGGACATTCACTTGAAGCCATTCAGGCTAGATTCGATCTGAGGAAGAAGCAGACGGAAGCTCTGCGCGACATCATCCCCAGACGCCAGCCCCAGCCCAAGCCCACTGCTAGCTCTCACAGGCCCGCCGCTCCTCTGACAGCTGGCAAGAGACCGGCGCCCACTGCTGGAGTGGGAGGGCCGCCGGCGAGAGCACGTACTCCGGCCCGAGCTCCACGCCAGTCGGCCTGGGGCAAAGGCCTCCCCCGGGCCCCCGACGGGACCCGACGCCCAGGAGGAAGAAGCCTCAGCCCTCCTAGCTGTGATTGCGAGTGGGGAAGGGATCCGGCAGCAGGGAGACGCTGCTCTTACCCCTCTGTTGCCGCACAAGAGGTGCCGCTTAAGTTCTGTTCAGGTTGTCAGCCCCAGAAGGCGCTGCACTTCCCTATCGCGGTCTCCCAAGCACATAACCCCTGCACACGGTTCAGATGTGTTGAATGTTCAAGCGACCACATCGAGTGTTCCCGCTGTTTTTCATTGTTATGCCCCGGAAAAGGTGCACCCAACAAAATGTATAAATGTACATGTTCCCATGTTGCAATCAATAAAGAGTGTTGTTTACTCTCAAACAATCTCAAATGCTCAACCTGCAGGCGAAATGAGCCAGGTCAGGCAGGGGATGCAGTCCCCTGCAGACACACTGGGGGGCGACGGCGCCCCGCCGTCAGTGCTGCAGGCCAGCCGGCTGGCTGCTCACTTCCCTCAGTGGCGCGCTTGCGCCCCCTCTCCGTGGGTGCTGCAAACCGTTGCCATGGGTTACCGGTTGCAGTTCCGGGTCAAGCCGCCTCGTTTCCAAAGAGTCGTGAACACGATTGTCAACCCCGAGGCAGCCTTGGTACTCAGAGAGGAAATACAGGCGCTATTACAGAAGAGAGCAATACGGGTGGTCCCCGCTTCGGAGACGGACAAAGGTTGGTACAGCCGTTATTTTGTCATTCCGAAGAAAGGGGGAGGGCTTCGTCCCATCCTCGACCTGCGAGTCTTGAACACGTACCTGCGAACGTACAGGTTCAAGATGCTAACACTCAGACAGCTCCTGAGTGCAGTCGGCCCGGGAGATTGGTTTGCGACAATCGATCTAACAGATGCTTATTTTCATGTCGCTATACACCCGAAACACAGGCAGTTTCTGAGGTTTGCATTCGAGGGCGTAGCCTACGAATACCTAGTGCTGCCGTTCGGGCTGTCGCTCGCTCCCCGCACCTTTACGAAATGTGCCGAGGCAGCGCTAGCGCCCCTCAGGAAGAGGGGCATCCGCATTTTGGCCTACCTGGACGACTGGGCTCTCGTGGCTTGCTCCAGAGAACAGGCGGAGACGCAGCTGTCGCGGGTTCTGTCACACATTCAGACACTGGGGTTCTCTGTGAACTTTCAGAAGAGCTCGCTAATCCCAGGTCAACAGATCGCTTTTCTCGGTCTGGAAATATGCTCTCTTTCCAGCCGCGCACGGTTGTCAGAGCACAGAGTGGCCGCGTTTCATCGCTGCCTCGCTCAATTTCAGCTGGGACGCAGACTGCGTTTCCAGACGATATTGCGCTTGTTGGGCATGATGGCATCTATGATCGCCGTAGTGCCGCTTGGGCTGTTGAAAATGAGAGCGTTTCAACGCTGGACTCTCTCTCACCGTTTGTGTGCTTCGCGTCACCTCCGGAGGAGGCTGCCGGTAACTGCGTCTTGCATGCTAGCTCTCCGTCCTTGGAGGGAGCCCGGGCTACTGCACCAGGGCTCTCGGATTGGGAGGGTGTTGTTTCGCAAGGTGGTGTCCACAGATGCTTCCCTAAGTGGGTGGGGAGCGCTGTGCGAGGGTGCGTCAGTGAGAGGGATCTGGTCCGCGGCTCAGCGCCAGCTGCACATCAACCACTTAGAGCTGTTAGCAGTGTTCTTAGCTCTAAAGCGTTTCCGTCCAGTCCTGCAGGGCCAGCATGTCTTAGTCAGGACGGACAATTCAACAGTGGTGTCTTATATAAACAGGCAGGGAGGAACACGCTCTCTTCCCCTGTTGCAGCTGTCTCGCTCTCTGCTGTTATGGTGCAGTGTTCATTTTCTGACTCTAAGAGCCACCCATGTCCCGGGCCACCTGAACCTGGGGCCGGACCTTCTCTCCAGGGGGGTCCTCTGGTGAGAGAATGGAGGTTACACCCTTCAATAGTGGCTCAGATTTGGGATCTATTTGGCGAGGCGCAAATAGATCTTTTTGCTTCCAGGGTGAATGCTCACTGCCCCCTGTACTTCTCCATAATCGACCACGATGCACCCTTGGGCTTGGACGCGCTAGCGCACCAATGGCCAGACGTGCTCCTGTATGCATTTCCCCCAGTGGAAATGATATCTCCAATTCTGGAGAGGGTGCGTCGGCATTCCCTCTCTCTGATCCTGGTGGCCCCTTGGTGGCCCGCGAAGTCGTGGTATGCAGAGATAATCAGCCTGCTTGCAGCAAGTCCTTGGCAGCTTCCTCTCCGCAGGGATCTCCTCTCTCAGGCGGGGGGGGAAGTGTTTCATCCGCGCCCAGATCTGTGGCACCTTCATGCTTACCTGCTGAGAGGTTAAACTTGGTTGCTAAGGGTCTGCCACCTAGTGTGGTAGCGACGATTCAGAGCGCCAGGGCCTCGTCTACTAGAGGCTTGTACGCTTACAAATGGCGAGCCTTCGAGCGATGGTGCCAGGACCGCCACACTCTCCCATTTCAGTGCTCTATTGTGGATGTTTTGACATTCCTGCAGGAGCTGTTGGATAAAGGCCTTTCGTTTTCGACGATCAAGGTTTATTTAGCGGCTATATCTGCTTGTCATATCGGTTTTGACGGGGTGACACCAGGTGCGCATCCCCTCGCCGTGCGTTTTCTGAAAGGGGTTCGCCGGCTGAGGCCCGTGCTTAAGTCCAGTGTCCCGGCTTGGGACTTGTCTTTGGTGCTGGAGGCCCTTTGTGGCCCTCCGTTTGAACCCGTTGAGTCGGTAGATATGAAACTTCTTTCGTATAAGACCGCATTACTTCTCGCTTTGGCCTCGGCGAAGCGAGTGGGGGACCTTCATGCGCTGTCTGTGCATCCTGCCTGCACACAGTTTTCTCCTGATGGCCGCAAGGTCGTATTGCGTCCGAATGCCGCCTATCTTCCCAAGGTCATGCCTGCATCTTATAGTTCAATGGAGTTTGAGTTGCTGAGCTTTTGCTCCCCTCCTTTTGAATCTGAGGAGCAGAGGAGGGTGCATTCTCTTTGTCCGGTGCGTGCGCTACGCACCTACATTGAGCGCACTCGGGATGTGCGTTTGTGTGACCAGTTGTTTGTCTGCTTCGCTAATCCGAATAGAGGTAGAGCTCTGTCCAGACAGAGGCTGTCCCACTGGATTGTAGAAGCTATCTCGCTGGCATACAGCACCGGAGGTTTTGCGTTGCCCCACGGGGTGGGAGCTCATTCCACCAGGGGGATGGCGACCTCATGGGCTCTTTTTAGAGGGGTGCCTGTGGCTGATATTTGTGCAGCGGCTAATTGGGCGTCGCCGCACACTTTTGTGCGGTTTTATCGGTTGGACGTTACAGCCCCTTCGGTGGCTCATGCTGTCCTTTCTGCTGGGTCTACCACTCACTAAGGATGTGGTGGTCCCGTTCCGGTTCGGTGGCTGCTCTGCGGGGCGTGTATATAGGTCCCATACTTATGTGTTGTACCGAGTGAATCGACTGAAAGGGAACGATTAGTTATGTCTATAACTTCTGTTCCCTGAAGGAGAGGAACGAGGTACAACACAGGGTGGCCCCACTGAGCAGTTGGCTCGGTGAAGAGCGGCTATCGAACTGAGGGATGACGGTGATGGCAGCGGCTATATGTGCGGGCGGGGCCTTGCGCGTGTCATCACACGTCATCTGCCGTAAAGGCGTGAATAAAGGTTTCTTCAGCCAGGACACGCGAGGGCGTGATATCCCATACTTATGTGTTGTACCTCGTTCCTCTCCTTCAGGGAACAGAAGTTATAGACATAACTAACCGTTTTCAGGGTTTTCAGCGTTATTTTGTTATCGTTTTTATCGTTTACTCGTCTTTCCTGGGTCTTTTCACGTGTGTTATGAATAAATTTTCTTTTTTTCGGTACCGGTACTAGTTGTATTTTATTGTATTTATCTGCGACACCTTAAAGGCCGGTCCGTGAAAATATTGTCGGGCATAAACTGGTCCGTGGCGCAAAAAAGGTTGGAGACCGCTGTTTTAAAGGAAAAGTTTATCAAAGCTCTGCTTAACTTCTTGAAAAGAACTACAAGCCAAAAGACTGAAGGGCTGAAAGACATTTTGGCACAGTGGGCATGCATAATTTCCTTAAGTTGATAGTTGCAGGCTGTCTTTGATTTACACCAGCAAATTAAGAACCGTGTGCCTTGACAGTGGATGTTTTAACACCTTTTTGTGTTAAAAACAAGTGGAGAAAATCCTGAAACTAGTTATGTCAAATGCAAAATCTAGGTTTGACCTTCTGTTCTTTAAATGTTGAAATAACAGTGCAATTAGCAGCAAACTGATTACCTCGAACTTTTCCTTTTTTGATCCCCAAACTTTGGTGACGCAACAACAGGTGACTCAAGTAACACTTAAGGGAAAACAGTCATAAAGATGCTTTCACGCTCATGGCAGTTGTCATATGTTTGTGTCACCAGAGTGGTTTGTGCTATTAAGAGTACACAGGTTAATTTTAGATGAAGAGCTTCTAAACGGGCCTTTTTACTGTACACTTTTCCTCTTAACTGTCCTAAACTGTAGGAAGTTCACTGCCGCGTGTCCTCCAAGGACTTCTGTGGAGTGAAATATTGCTTGTTAGGCTCAGGCAATTGCTTTAAACCTGTGGTGCACAAAAACAACAGATCTCTCTTTTTGCATGAATTTTTTAGTCCTTTATCTTATATTCATGTGCAATTCTATATTCTTAATTTATTATGTCCCAGCATATATGTGTGCTGTTTGTTCGTTTGGAGGAAGGGGGGAAAAAGTTTATACCCGTTTGTCCTCTAATATGTCCTCTCTTCTCATCCACTCTGTGTGATGACAGAGCACTTTAGCTGGTGCCATAACCCTCACAGAGGAGGCTGATTACTGCACTGATAGATTGGTTTTTGTGCCATGCTGCTTTGATAGACTTTTAAAGTGTTGGTTCTCTCCAACTAGATTTGGGAAGCAGCAGAAAAGCTTTAACAGATCAATACTGTGCATCCATTTTAAATGGGTTTAGTCTAAGGTTAATAGAAACAAAGTACGCAGTGTTGAAATGTGAGGTGCTTTTGCCGTCAACTCCAACTTCAAGTGACAGTTTTGGTTATCTAGAGGCGGCCGTTTGATTTTCAGACAATTTAAACGTATTCATTGTTTCTGTAGTTCGATGGGATCCACGTCGTGAGCGGCTCATTGGATACGTCTATAAGGGTCTGGGACGTGGAGACGGGCAACTGCATCCACACGCTAACGGGCCACCAGTCCCTCACCAGTGGCATGGAGCTCAAAGACAACATCCTGGTCTCAGGCAATGCAGACTCCACCGTCAAGATCTGGGATATCAAGACTGGCCAGTGCCTCCAAACACTGCAAGGTGAGGAAAGTGAAGTATGAACAGTGTGAGAGTTACTGTAAAACTTCTGGAAAACCAGAGGCTGTCTCAGCTGTTATTGAAATCTAATTACATTTTAATGACAGGTTTAACTTTTCATGACTACATCTCACACTTTTCTGAGTCCATCATGTTGGCAAAGCTGCAATGGAAGTCTCCAGGACCACACACGGGCAAAACACGTTGTAGGATACATACGAAACTGCTGCACATTTACTGCTGTTTGGATAAACCCTAAAAGAATAAAAGTGTTCTTTGTACTGCATTCAGCTGAGTACTCACACAGCAGCTGGTGCATTGTCTCCCACTCAGAAGAGCTTGACCTTAGTGGCTCCAACGTTTTTGGGTGTTGTTGGAGGATGTTTGCTTATCACTTCCAAATTTCTGTGTTTATTTGCTGGGAGTCATGAGATCAGACTCTTAGCTGTTTTATTCTGATAAAATAATTTCAGATGTGGTCTTATGCGCAGACCTTACAGTAAAAAATCAGTACAAAGGTCTCATGTGACAGGACAGCCAGGCTACATCAGAGATTTTGGGGATGTAACTCTTATATTTTCTTTCTCTCTTAACTTTCTGTCCTGTCTTGATGTGCTACTGTTTTCATACCACTAGACTTGGTTATGTTGTACTCAAAGCAGCTACACCTAAGGTGGCTGCAAAACAACTTGACTGAAATGTAGACTTATAGATCCATGAATAAATGACTTAAAGTGTAGAAAAGTGGCAATGCTAGCCTTGGAGGATAACAACAACAAAAAACACGTTAGATGGGACTCTGTTTGATACTGACAGTCCAATTAAAAATCCATCTAAATTACCTGTTTGTGTGTGTAAGTGGAGCAGAACTGAGCCAACACCTTGCAAGCCTGCTGGTCCTGATTACAGTCTCATTTCCTTTGTGTCTGAATAGTTCTAACTCCATTAGCAGCACTGGTGCCTCACAGGATGTTGGAAATCCTTTGGCTGAATAGCAGTGGCAACCAGCAGTGCCCCACTCCTAACCGCCCTCATTAGCAAACTCCAAACCCGCATGCGGGTGCTGCGTCCACAGCGCACACAGCAGCCCAACAAAGGATGGTCGTATAAGAGCCTTAAGAGAGCAGGAGGGACGGCGTGCAGGGAGGGAGACTGTGGGTCTGTCTGGTGAAGAGAGGTGACTACAGTAAAAGACTGAGGGCCCGGGAACTTTGTAGGTCATATAATCAGGTCAGCAGACAATTTCTGCCATTCATTAGTGTGTTTTGATAAGACAATAGGCCAACAACAAGGCTGTCACTGTCAGCTCGAGAGCGCATAGGTAATCACGGAGCAGAGTGCTTTGTTGTGGTAATGGGAAGAGCAGAGGGAGGAGAGAGACAGGCAAGCTGGGGGTTGGTGCAGAGCAGTATTGTGTAGCCGGGTAAATAACTCAGCCTTTGAACTAATCAGAGACGGAAACAGAAAAGATGTGAACGCTTGTTCAGAGATTTCAGCAGGTTTCGTCGGTGAAAGGTTGTGTATCCTGAAACAAGTTAAATGCATCTGAGCTCACAATTCAGTTCATTTGCCTGCACTCGACTCTACACTCGTTTTTGTTTTCGCTTTAATTGATTTAATTAAGGTATGATTTTCAAGCCTGAAGGAGTCACGCATACAGTCACAAATAAACTCACTTCAGCCACTACACGCTTTAACCGGTATGTACTGGCACCAAACAGACCAGACAAAGGTGTAGCTGAAGCTGCTTAGCGTCTGTGACAGACAGGAATGAGCCCTGGCAGCTCGTCCTAAAGCCTGCCAGCTGTACGAAGATCTCATTGTCACAGCACCGTCAGGAGTAGGAGCTCTTCTTTCACCTCACAGGCTGACAGAGATCTTGCTTTCAGATCTTTCCCTGTATCTGGGTTCTTCATTATTTTTAAATTCACCCATTCTTTATGTGCCAGTAGACTAGCACGTTTGACCAACATTTTCCACGAGCTTTGGTAGAAAGGGATTCCCCTATGTTACAGGTTTTAGGACCTGACTGATCCACACGCATTTACTGGAAACTTTAACCTGAATGTAAATGTTTTAAGCCATGAAAAAAAAGACTTTTCTTTACCTCGTCCCACTAAATATAAGTATCTTTGTGTCTTCAGGTCCTCACAAGCACCAGAGCGCCGTGACGTGCCTCCAGTTCAACAAGAACTTTGTCATCACCAGCTCGGACGATGGCACGGTCAAACTGTGGGACCTGAAGACCGGTGAGTTCATCCGTAACCTGGTGACTCTGGAAAGTGGCGGAAGCGGCGGTGTGGTGTGGCGCATCCGGGCCTCCAACACCAAGCTGGTGTGCGCGGTTGGTAGCCGCAACGGCACAGAGGAGACCAAGCTGCTGGTCCTGGACTTTGACGTAGATATGAAGTGAGAGGGAGCACGGTGGGGAAGGTCGAAGAGAGCGAACCGCACAGGAAGGAGTAGAGAGGGAATGGAGACCTGGAAACTGGAGAGCCAACATCCAAATGCTAGAACCACAACCACCAACAGTGGGCTGTCCTGTCCTCTACCATCATCTTCCCACGTCCCCCCCCCTGCTTTTTTGGGCAAATGTTACTGACAAAGAGACACACCCTCACCTGTTCAGCCCCTGCTTTTGAGCCCCTTCCACCAGCACAAGGTGGAGCCTAAAGGGGGATCGGGTTGGAAACGAGGCGAGGAGGGCGGAGCACGACTGGTCTGTCCCTTGATTGGCTGTGAGAAAGAAGAGAAAGAGGGGGAAAAAAAGAGGAACGGCCGAAAATGACTGAACTCTTTTGAAGTGACTCTCAATCCTTTCAGTTTGGGGGCAGCTTCACTCAGAGACTTAGTTTCGCTCAAGCCTGACAGATTTTGACATGTACAGAGATATATTATTTTTTAAAAGCCCCTCCCACCCTCTGTAACCCCCTCCCATCAGTGTGCCCACCCCCCCCCCCCAAAAAAAAAAAAAAAGACAAACACACACATACACTCAAAAGGCTGACCGGAAAGTGGGAAACGTTGACCGTAGGTTAAGGCTGAGAAAGGTGGATTTTCCACACCTAAAGAGCTGCTCGGTGTAGCCTGTTCAGGCTAGTTTCTCGTCACTCCATTTCTGTTCCTGTTTGTTTCTCCCCTTCTGTAGTCTGATTTCTTTAAAATACCGCACACAAACACAACTGTGAATTTCAACACCTCTTTGGTTTATCATATGAAAGGTTTTGTTTTTTCCGCCTTTTCTCACTGTTGCCAACAGCAACAAATCCCAGTATTAGAAACCTGCCCTGTTTAGGTTTGCCATCTTTGTCACAAGGGTTTATTTTGTTTTGATTTGTTTTCTTCCTTTCTGTTTTCTACATACCTGGGTTCGGAGCGCCGTCTCCACATGAACATCAATGCTGTCCAGATTTTTCCAGAGTCTAGCTGGGGTGGTTTCCTCAATGCCAGTGCTGTGACGAGAAGAAGAAAAGGTCCTTTGCTCTAGGCGCTGTGGATTAATGCCCCCCTGAACCCCACTCGTCCCCCTCCCTTCCCCTCTACCGTTTTCCCCCCCAGTGGCCAAACTGTATTTATGCTGCTAGATGAATGGGGAAAAAGAAAGAGAGAGATGGAACTTTTACTTGCTGTGACGTTTTAGTCCCAGGCAAAATTCCAAATTGAACTCTATGTTTGGACTTACAGAAACAAAATATGAGAAAAAAAGGTAACATCCAGCTTTTTATTTTCTGTTTTGTTTTTGCCACTGAAACTTGAGCCAAACGTGCCTCTACGAGGCCGAGAGGAGGGAGCGTGTCCGACAGATACCGGCGGGGAGCGCCCGCAGAGAGGAAACAAGGGGATGTACACTGTTGGCGTGCGTGCGTGCGTGTGCATGAGTGCGTGTGTTTAGCGTGTTAATGGGCAACTTGTAAACACATTCCTTGGGACAAAGCTCTTTCGGCCTGTTCTTTGGGGAAATGTACAAATGCTGTTCAGACTGGCAAAGACAAAAAAAGCGAAAATATAAAAAATAAAAAAAAATCCTAGCAGATGTATCGATTTTTAACAGGTGAATGAAAGAACTGTCCATATCCGTGCGTGTGATTGTTGTTCCGTTCAAAGATGTCTGAAGCAACAGAGGAGACCATCACAAGCATCAACTGACAGGCGGAGCTGCCGGGAGTCTTAGTGTTACATGTGTCACAGTCGAAATCACCCAGACGGCCTCGCGGGTCGTCATGGGGGGAGAAATTTTAACAAAACAAAAAAATCCCACAAAGGCAACAAAACATGAACAGAAACATTGTAGCCAAACAAAAACCGTCCCAATCTCCAAGAGTCACAACTCAAGCTGAACTGTGAAAGTGGTATAACACTGTATATTAAAAAAAAAAGAAAACAATCTTGCTCTATCTCCTCTTGTTGTTTTCTCCCTCTGATTTTAATTTATGATCTGGTTTGAGAAATCAGATTTGTTGCAGGTGTTTTTATTTCTTTTTTTCTTTGTTTTTTTCCAGTTCATGTAAACTGCCTGGCAAAAAAGAAAACGGACAGAAAAAACCTTAAAGGGATTGTGTATTTGTTTGATTCACTTAGAATTTTATTTTCTTATAACTTAAGTGCAATAAAATGTGGGTTTTTCTTTTTTCATTTCAAGCTGACAGTTGTCTGTTTTTGTTACCTGTATGAAGGCATCTTATGTGTTCAATAAAGCAAATTATTTGGTAATTACATCCACAAGGGAATAATTTTAAACATTAATCACAGCGCAGTCTTAGTCTTCTAGTTTTGTCGACGGTGTGATCAGAGCACCTTCACAAAAACAGATATCTGACTTCAGTTTAGTCTCCCCTTCAAGATGGGCTTCTTATGTCGCTCTGCACCATTTCCAGCACTCCACTGCCACTCCTGACCACTTAAAATGCGCACGCTTTCATGTGACGTCCTGCGCAGTTTTCAAACAATAACTTTTCAATTTGTCCCATTTCCCAGAAAATAAAATCAAAGTATCAGAGAGACAAATCTGTGGACTAATGCGAGATTTTCAGTAGTGACTTTATGTCCAGTTGCTGATGAAAAGAGCAGCTAAGGGCATTTTTCATTCCGCCATTATAATTTGTCGCTCCGGCAGGTGAGCGCGGGGTGTGGATCCATGTTTGTGAACACGAAAAGTTAGCGTAACATTATTTTCAAATTGATAACAATAGGGGAATCTACTAAACCTCAGATGAGTTTAAATCTCTGACTTTGAATTCAAAGTCAAGGTCAGTGTTCAGCTTTAATGAAAAATCACTTCGGGTTTTTACATTTTTACCACGGGTGCAGCTCCTATAGGAGGCTGAGGACACTGCCAGTACTTTTCTTTCAATAACGGAGGAAGGAGGCGGCCACTGACTGGTTGTTTGATCGCAAGAAGCTACAGACATGTAGATGACAGTCCTCAAAATCATCCACAGGCACTCCAGAGGACCAGTGCACAGTCATGTTTAAGCCATAAGGTTATGTCAGTGTAACAAGCATGCTCCTCGGCACCCAACTTTGTGTTTGGCTATTATACCAAACAGTAATAATTCTCAGTGTGAAGCAAGATTTTCAGGTATGTATTAAAATCATAAACACTCAAGGTTCATAAAAGGACTTCTAGAGGGCGATCAGGATATCTTCATGCCATCCAGAAGAACTGGACAACGAAATGACCTTCAAGGATTTTTAGCAGTATCAATAAGTAATATAAAGTTAGACCTTAGTCACTAAACTTCCTGATTGTGCATGGTGCTCATCCGATTGCATCTCCAGCTCAGCAGCAGTTCCCATTTGTCCTGTTTATTGTTGAAGTCACATTATCAAGAAATCCCACGAAATGACTGAACGCACTAACAGCCCCTTAATTTAATTCACTAGTCAAACTTTTAATTCTGCATTTCCAACACGTTTCCACTTTTTGGCTGTCATGTTTTATTTGCCATTCACCCAGGAGTGCCTGCAGAATTTTTTTTCAAACGGGGGCCACTAAAAATACTGGGGTGGCACAACACAGAAAAAACTATGCCAAGTTGCCTGGTGCAGCAAATTTTGAGAGGTGGCTGCTGCCCCCTCCCTTGGTGCTACCATTCACCCTTTTAGCTCTGCACCATGAGCTACTTGACCTCATCACTACTCTTTCCTACAGAAAATGAAAATGGTTTGATTTTTAAAAACAGAAATTCTCCTCAGACAGAAGCACTCAAGCAGAAGCGAAATCTCAGAGGGTTTGACTATATGGAGGGTGAAAAAAAACCAGTTCACTGATGAAGCAACGTGCCTGCCAGCTTAACAACATGACAACTCTTGTTGTGTTTTTAAATAGTTTTTGGACAGTGAAGGATCTCCTCAGAGGAGGAAGCTGTATGGCTTTGGCCTCAGTGGTAGTACAATCATTTTTTTTCTCTGGGGATTTGTTGACAGGCGTTATAAAGACTAATGCCAGTTCTGTTCTTTTGGTACATCAGTATTACCTGTATATGCACTGGTTGCAGTTCCCAGTGGTGAGCAGCTGACAGAAAATGAATCGGCAGCAGTTTGCTTGCAGTCAGCCTGCAACCGAACACCCAATGGGCCCAAATGTAGAAATGTGGCCCAAGTGTCCCATGATTATCTGCCTTAAATTTCTTGTAAATCCAGTTTTACGTTGAGCATTTCTAAACAGCAGGATTACTCAGATTTCTTTTTGTTATGTCGCCTTTTTTTAGGAGCCTTTTTATGTAACATATTCAAAAGGAACTGAATCCAGATAACCTGAAGTGTTAGACAAAACACTTATTCACACTTCCACTAAGTGTAATTTTATCAAAGTGTTGTGTTGCAGCTCAAAAATACTAATGAGCTATTTGTTTTCTGTTTAGTCTTTAATTATTTTTCAGCCTGTGAAGATAATTCATGCAATTTAGCTTCGCATGTTGCGTTCATTCTGCTCTGCTCTCTCCTCTATATAAGAGACCGTGAATGGCGGCTGGGGAGCGATTTAAACGTGACCCACTTGATGCCCACCCCCCCCAAAAAAAACGTTATCTGTCATGAGTCCGTACAGCTCGTGTGGCAGCAGTTGCAGTCTAGCTGTGCTCCAGATTCCCTCCCGCCTGTTGCCTAGCAATAGTTCGTGTCTGGCCCGGCCTCAGAGCTCGGTGTCCACTCAGAGTATAAACAGCATTGTGAGGAAGCAGTGAGGGCTGTTCATCCTCACATGAATGGACATGAGGGGCGTTTCCACTTCGACTGAAAAGGTCACGTTATGCGCAGTTTGTTTCCAGGATCCACTTGTGTGGCGTGCAAGCAGCCCCTCTGCTCTGGAGAACAGTAAACAACCCGAGTGACACATTGTTGCCTATTGTTATTCATGTATCAGTGAGCGAGTGCACTTTACACCGAGAACAGTCTGTCAGGTTTGTTTTAACTGAAACTGAAACACACAGCTGCAAAGTGATGCACAGTGTGGGTTAAACATCCAGTAGATAAGTGTACATACAAACACACAGTCGAATATATAGTCAGCAAGGTGAACCACAGCCTGAATAACGATTGAAAGGAGAAGGTAACCTATGTTTTAAACGGCTGCTGAAAACGCATTTTCAAACAACAGAATCGGCACATGGTTAGGAAATCCAGTAGCTTCCTGCTGGGTTTCAAGCCTGCAGAAGGGCACCAAATATGAGAAGTGGGATCGGGGTGGGGTACATTTAATTTGATCGCCTTTAGGGACGTCTGGTTGTGCAGTTCTCGTCTGTCCCATTAGAGTCCCGTGTGCTTGTGCATTTGCAAGGCATGCTGGATCTCTTCCACTTTGCTAAATTTGCAACATTTCAATTCTAATTTGATTTTGTGGAAGAGAAAGTTTCAGAGGTGGGATGTGGCGAGTAACTATTGTGTTGCGATGACCGAAAACACCAATGCAGTGCCGTGTTTGTGGAAAATGGCAATCATGGGAGAACTCTGCTTCAACCAGCTGACCAGATACACCGCTTTCAGGCTTTGAAACCCTGAACTTCCACTGAAACCTCCTGTTTGGTTCCTGGGACCCGGGCTTAGATCCAGATCTCTCTACCAGTGATCACCCTGGATATGAAAGTCAGGTCATTTTGACCAAAAAGTGTTTGAAATATCAGGGTCATCGCAGCAGAGCCAACTGACTTTAATATTGCATGTTGTGAATCTGAAGGTTGAAGAAAGGATTACAAACAAAACGGTCCTGCTACAACTTTGAGTTGAGCCTTTTATTAAGGAGTTCAGAGTGTACTTACAATCAAATAAACAGGACAAGATGCCCCAACTAGATATTGTATTACATTTGTAAGAGTCGATACGCTAATCATGAACTTAAAGTTCTCTTTGATTGCTTTCTAAATTTAATCTGAAGAAAATTAGTTCTCAAAATAATGGAGAATTTGTTGATGCAGCTTAGAAATTTTCAGTGTAAAGCAAAGGCAGATCAATGTTCACTCGAGCGTAAGTTTCTCAGCTTGAGGTAGACCTGACATCCGTGATCCATTGTGTGTGAGATGAGGATGCTGTTGATTTCCATTTAAGGATTGTTATTGCACTACAGGCTACAGCTGGTATTGAGTTAGGAAACGATACACTGTCAGGAATGGTTCTGGGCCAGTGATGGAGTCTGGAGTGAGTCCACGCCTACAAAGGTGTGAGATGCAAAAAGTAGGAGTGTATTGATGAATGGCAGAATGCCAATCATGCACCCCCCCTTAATTCCTTCCCTTAACAAGTCAAACCAAATCATTCCCATTTCTTGTCATACTGTAGAAATTTCTATCGAGTCTATATCCAGGCATTTTAGGTAGAGCAAAGAGAACTTTAGACTCAAACGGTATTGCGCTGTGAAGAAGTCTTGAGCCACCCCTCATTTATTTAGTTTTGCTAGAAAAAATATTCTCCCCCTCCAAAGGGAGGAACCTGTTCTGTTTGTGTCTGTTAGCAGTCTAATGTCCAGAGTTTTCAGGATATCATTTTTGAAATTTTATGTAACAGTAGATGCCAATAAAAGCTCGAGCTCATTTAGTTTTGGTGAAAACCTCGTCAAGGTTGCACCAAATGCAAACAAATTGTTAAAAACTTCACATTATCCACATTTTATTTTAATGGATTTTCTTATAATTTTCCAACAATATACTAGACTATTGGCAGTGTATTTGGGATCATTGCTGAAAATGAAGTCGTTGCCAATCAGACACTCTTCAGAAGGTGGATCAAAATCTGAGAATACTTTTCTGTGTTCATAATTCACAAATTCACAAAATTGACACAGATTTTCAATCCAGTTCCTGTTTACTTCTTGACAACAACCCTTCCACTGAGACAATTTCTGATGATACGTTAGATAATCTCTTGAGGAGCCTTTTTTTCAATGCTAGAATA